GGATAAAATACCTTAATCCACTAATATCACCAAGTATTGGGTATATTAGTGCGAGGGGTAATGTTGGCTACATATTTTGTACAAGCGAATTACAGTTCAACACGTGGCAGGATGAGGGCAATACGAGAAGACAATTTAAATCTTCAATCGTAATCACACACGTGGCAGTTAGTATTGGTTATTATGGATCTGCATAGCATTGGATCAGCAAAGAGATGCAAGATGACGTGCCTTTAACAGTTGCTCGTATATTTAAATTCAAAATCATGAGGGAAGCCTAACTACACACGTGGTGTAGTGGAGCTAACTGTGAAGAAACATGATCAGCGATCATGGTGGGATGGTTTGACGGTTAGGAAATCATTTCGACGGTTATCATTGAGAACTATAAATAGCAGAGAAGGCCCCAGAAAGAAGCCCAGACTCAGATTCAGAAATCAGTTTTTATCTACTTTATTTTCCTTCCAGTTTTTACATTTCTTGTTCTTTACATTTCTGTACTTCAAATTCCTGCACTACACTTCGTTCATAGGAGTAATTTCAAGTAGCTTCATGCTGTAAACCTCTACGAGGCTGAATTAGATTATTGTAAGTCTTTCATTTTTACTGAATGAAATGCTACAATTGTTCTTCATTTAAATCGTCGTTTGCTTAATTATCCAAAACAAAGCCACCAGTAAAAGTCCTTTTTGTTGAGGCAGAAAGAACTGAAACATAATCATCTTATATTTGATTGGCAATTAATCTTCTGTAAGGGCTAATTGATCCTTTCTAGCACGCTTAAAATTACAATAGTAACCTTCAAAAGCCAAAAAAGCCAACATATATTTTTGGCACTTCTTCTCATCAAGCCTTTGACTCAACCTTGCCAAGTCTGCCATGGAAACTTCTGGCTCCGTTTGGAATAATTGCCCATGAAATGCCTCCTCCATTTGTTGCTAAGTTTGGATAGAGCCAGGTGTAAGGTTAATATACCATACAAAAGCTGCCCCAGTTAGAGAATTTGGGAACAGTTTTAACTTCATGTAATCATTGTTGGTAAATTTACCACATTGGGCAGCGAACCTAGCAATATGTTCTACCGTTGACTGGTTTCCATTCCCATAACAAATAACAAAGTCTGGTATTCTAAACTCTCTTGGGTATTCATGTACTCTATCTACCCATTCTGGATATGGTTTCCTATATACAGGAGTTTGAACCCCCCGAGTCATTGGTCCACACATTTCTCTCACAATATCGGCAATTTGGTCCCTAGGGACCATATTTTGTGCTTGTTGAACCACCACTAGAGGAACAAACACAGGATTTTGTGGAAAACCTTGTGCCTAAGATCCTCTTGGTTCATAGGGAGGTATATTTGGGACTGGTTGTCCCTGTGGTGCTGGCTGCTGTTGAGGGAATGAGTGACCCCTCTGAGCCTGTCCTGCGAAAGCTGCTGCAACAGGTGTTGTGTCTCTTCCAGTCGCAGGAAACCTTTCCAACCTGCCGGGTACAAATTCGAATAAAGGATTAGTGAACCTCCTCGTGCCAGATATGGCTTCGAACATGGGATTTGTAAACATCCTTATGCCATTGTCTTGTGTTGGCCCAGATCTACCAATTTGCACGGCTTCACTATTAAGTAATGAGGCATTTTGATTTGTCACAGGCCTCGAAAGAGACTCATACCAAGACTAAGGTGATGGTCTTTCATTGTTTTGATTACTAGTTTGACCATTAGTATGTCCATTATTTTGCATAGGCTGTTTATCTCTAGCCAATCTTTGCTAAGGGACATTTGAAATTTCCTCCATATGCCTTGTGTTAGTTGGTTGATGGGTATTCATTGGATCCATAAAAGATATTGTCCATCTTTCCATTGTGTTCATTAACTGCTGTCCCATGGCATTTACTAGGCCTTCCCATGGATTTATTGGCTGAGTAGATGGAACAATGGATGGTCTAACTCTATGGCCTCGTCCAATATTTTGAACATATGGTACTTGCTTCAAAGTGCTGGTTTGTTCAACCATAGATTCTGATAAGACAGGTACTTCCACATGATGTATTACCACATTATCCTCTGGATTAGGTATTTCTACCTCTCCTTCCATAACTTCTTCCGAGCGTTCATTTTCTCCTTATCTTCTACGTCTAGCCATTTCAATTAGTCCCACCGGGCGTGCCAAAAATACATGTTTGCTTTTTTGGATTTCGAAGGTTATTATTGTAATTTAAGCGTGCCAGCAAAGATCAATCAGTCCTTACCGAAGATTAATTGCCAATCAAATATCAGACGATTGTGTTTCAGTTCTTTCAACCTCAACGAAGAGGAATTTTACTGATGGCTTTGTTTAAGAGAATTAAGCAAACAACGATTTAAATAAAGAATAATTGTAGCATTTCATTAAGTAACAATGAAAGACTTACAATAATCCAATTCAGTCTCATAGAGGTTTACAGCAACTAGTTACTTGAAATTACTTCTATAAACGAAGTGCAGTGCAGGAATTTGAAGTGTAGAAATGTAAAGAACAAGAAATGTAAAAACTGGAAGGAAAATAAAGTAGATAAAAACTAGTTTCTAAATCTGAGTCCGCACTACTACAAAAATAGTTAAAGATCACACTTTGACAAAAAAAAAAGATCTCACTTTTATTGGAAGTGTGATAAAAAAAATTAGATTGATATTTTAATCACACTTAATTTGATTGAGTGTGATAATATTTATTTTTTATGTCACTTTTCAATTAAGTGTGATTATATATATATATATATAATCACACTCGTAGTGTGGGACTTTTGGGTGATCTGCTTCTTTGACTAACAGATAAACATGAAACTGATAGGGCAAAGCACACTCTTATAAACTCCGATCTAAAGTTTGATTTTGATTTCTCAAAGAGGGTCTTCGAGAGTGACTATTGTGGACTCTTAAGGTCTGAAATTGGTGTAACAAAGGGTTTGGTTTTGGAGTTATGCAGCAAGGTTTAATTGGTTAGAAGGGGCAAGGAAAGGGTTTTTTAAATTTATTCAAATAATTAACTAGTAGAAAAATTTCTTTGTGTTTTGAAATTTTCTCTATGCTTTGAAATTTCTCTGGATTGAAATTTTTTCTATATTTTGAAATTTCTTTAGTTTGAAATTTCCCTAATTTGCTCAATTTCACTAATTTTCTCTGTATTTCAAAATTTCTCTAGGTTGAAATTTCTCTAGTTTGCTCACAAATTTCTTTGTGTTTTGACAAATTTTCTCTGGTTTGCTCATAATTTTTTTTTTGTATTATGACCAAATAAGAGAAAATTGAACTACAAATAAGCATATTTCTACACAACACATACAAACAAACATGCAGATATATTGGTGTCTTTATCATCATCGAACAACATTAATGGTCACTCGTCATAATCATCATGTTGCAATCCAAATTTTTTGATATATATTGACCATCCAGATTGAAATAATCAAGAGTCCTGTATTCATAAAAACAAAAAATCAAAAACAAAAATTCGAAAGAGTTATTTTACTCTTCAAAAAGTCGGAATCTACATTTCGACATTCCTAAGGCCGTCACAACACGACAAATTAAAGCATGCATTCAACAAGAACCAAAAGAACTTTCAAAATGTGAGTATATTTCTTGAACAAACACACACACGCGTGTATATATATATACATTATAAATTATACATATATATGTATCTCCATGTGTAGTGAAGAATTGATGGAATTAGAAACCCTAGATAGTTAATGCTCACTACAACAAAAAGTGTCTTTGGAGACGAAAACTAATGACGAAAATAAATTTTGTAACAAAAGACGTACCTTTTAGTGAAGAAAATAATTTTTCGTCTCCAAATGTACCATTTTTAGAGACAAAAATAAAATTTCGTCACCAATCTGCATACATAATAAAAAAATTAGGTGACGAAATTATTTTTCGTCATTATTTATATTTTTTTTGTCACTAAAGATTTTCCCGCTAATTTTTCGGATGGTACCAAAATTTTCAAACTTTTGGTGAGGAAAAAATTGGTCACCAATAATAAAATTATTAATGACGAATATATTTTCGTCACAAATAATTTTTAATATTTTAATATTATTTAGTGAGAAAACTATTTTCGTGGCTAATAATTTTATCTTTTAGTGATGAAATAATTTTGTCACCAAATAAATGGTTTAGTTGCTAAAGGTTTTTAGAGAGAAATGAATATATTGGCGCCTTAGATATATTAGTTCTTCTTCTCACACACAGATTTGACCACCAAACCTCATCCTACATGACCTCACCTCCCCCTTTCTCTTCTCTCACGCCTCACGCCTCTAGCCTCTGTGTCTCTTCTCTCTCACGCCTCACGCATCTGTCCTCCTCCACTACAACAAAACTGACTTTTTATGCACTATAACAAAACTGACTTTTTATGGCACCACATCAATGGCATATAATAGATGTACGCCGTAGTTTCTCACTTTTACGACTTACTTTTTTTGCACGTCGTAAATACTTTTCCAACCATGGCGTGTCTATTGCGTAGGCCATAAATGGTAATAACGATAATTTTTTTACGGCTTGCAATTCACGCCGTAAATAATAAAAGTTTCCGCGATGTGCATATGACATGCCGTTAATACATCAATTACACACGACGCACATACGCCAGCCGTGAAAAGTGAATACTTTTTACGGCGTACATAACACCTGCCGTTAAAAGTATTGCACTTTTTATGACGCACACATCACCTACCATTAAAAGTATTACTTTTTTATGACGCACAGTGCATGTCGTGAATTGTAAGATTTAAAAAACAAAAAAAAAAAAGAAGCGCCAATATGAAATTTTGGGTGCCAATCACCAAAATATATATATATTAGAAATTTTTTTTCCAAAATAACTATTTTGTGTTCCTCTAATCAGAATAGAATACCAAAAAATTTAAAATAAAATAAAATCACAAGCCCTAGCTCTTCAGCCCACCCAAAAAAAAATAAAAATAAAATAAAAAAATCAAAATACAAGGCTTTGGCTTCTAATGAAAACAAACCCAGAGGGTTTCATCAAAAGGGAGAATAGAATGGACTTCCATTTAAGTTAAATTCAAAAGATGGGTTAGAGAGAGAAGCTCTCTAGAAAACGTTGTCTTCTAGGGTTTCAATTGTTCATTGATTTCCTGATGTCTGTAGCTATTGTTACCATTGATGATGAAAATTTGGTGGTTTTTTCTCAGAATTGTTTGGGCGATCTAGGGCTTGATAACTGTGCGTGTGAAGCACTGTGTGCGTCTGCGATTAAGACGGTGGAACATTCTGGTTCCCCTTCTAAATAGATGGAAGAAATCAGAGAGAGATTGAATGTGATGGAAGCAAATATTGCCGGGGTAAATCAGGAGAAGGGTTCGTCTCATCGAAGAAGGGTTACCTGGTACATTGCTTCCTCCTTTCCTTCCTCTTGTCTTTGTTGATTTCTATTAAAGTGATCACTCATTTTTCTTTTGTTTTGCTTTCGATTTCTATTTCGATTTTGATCATCTCTTCTCATCGATTTCGATTTCATCTCTCTATTGCAGATTATCTTTCTTTTTATGGTAAACTGCTGCTGCTTCTCTCTCTCTCTCTAAAGCTAGGGTTTCGAAACCACCATGTCAAGAGGTGTTGATTGAACGACGGTAGATTTTTCTGTTTCTTGTGAACTTTTGTTCAGATTTTTCTATCACCATTTGTTCTATTTCATGTATATGTCTAGTGATTTTTTTTGGGGGGGGGAGTTTTGAGAAGTTAAGTTTTAAATTGAAAATTTAGGGTTTTTAATTGGGGGTTTTGATCGAAAAATTATGATTTTGTTGCCATTGACAATTTTTCAGGTAATTTTGATTTTTGCTTCTAATGGCTCCTATTTTACTTTGACCATTCTTTTTGTTCAAGATTTTTGCTAGGTTTTTGTTGGATAGAAAATTCGTATAGGGTGATTCTCTTCCTCGTCTCTCTGTGATGTTTGCACATGTTTGTATGTATCTAAATATTAACATATACCTAAAATCGTGACTTCATATGAAGATGATTTGTGTTATGTGTATGATGATTGCTTGTCTTTGTTTCTCTTTGTTGTCTTTGGCTGGTTATGTTTGTGTATCTATGTTTGCTTAGGTATCTCTATATATCTCTACTTTGTTTCTATTGTCCCGTAGAGAAGAAAACTATATACATGTTATTTATGCCTCTTAGGTGTTTGATAAAATGTTGAGTGGTTGGATCTTACTAGAATGTATGCTAAAATGACAATGACATTGGCTACAAGTAGATATCAATACATTCATACAGACAACTTACTTTTAATGTAACACAATTTTACTCCCATGTGATATATATTTCATAGCTCCATCTTGGATGTCCCTAAATTATTCTCCATTTTCAGAAGTCAATGGATAGTTTTACTAAATTTCCCTCAATGTCTTTCTAAAATTACTACTAGTTGGCCAAAGATAATGCCAATCCATGTAAGGGTAAAATTGAAACCTGCAATGTAAACACATTAAATGAACTTCACTCAAACATTGTGCTTATTTCCAATGTATTATAATTTTGGGTTATAGCATGTAAAATTACAAATTTAGCTTGTTTCTTTACTTTGATTGTATTAATAAAAAAGCTTGTTTGAACAAAAACTTCTCAAATAGAACTTATGTGAAATTAAGTGTACAAAGAAGAGTGTGTATATATGTTTTATGTATAAAATGTTCCCTTGCTTGATTCTAGGGGTTGTCATGTTGGAAACCCATGCTTCCTTAGATGTCCCTAAATGATTCTCTATTTTAAAAAAAGAAGTGAATAGTATTACTCAATTTCCCTCAATTTCTATTGCTGTAAAATTAGTACAACTTGGCTACTAGAGGTGAGAATTCTGAGAATTCTGTCAATGGTTTTTACTTAAATATTGTGCTTTTTATACCGGACTATACTGGGTATAATTTTTCAAACTACAAATTCGACTTTTTTAAATTAAACTTCTCAAATAGAAGTAAAAAGAAAATAGTTTTCCAAGACTCCCATGACTTCCTTTTCAGTAAACTGCCTCTCCAAGCCAAGTCATCAAGACGAGGCCTTTTATGATTGGTCTCAGCATAAAGCCTCACATAAAACTGAATCACTTCGCTCTTAATCCCCTCCCTCCTCTCCACCCCATTAATTTCTAAACTTTTACATAGTTTTGTGTCCTATGGGTGTTAGTCAATTTGTGAAAGGACTGAATATTCCTGTCATAAATCCCTTGCCTTCTGCCTCCATCTAATTTCTTCCATATGAACAATGTGTCCCAACTCCATTTTGACTTATTCCCTACCTACTCATTATTTAAAAACTTATGTCTCAATACCAATACAAAGGGATAGGGAGAAAACTGATATAGTGAATGACTTTCCATGTCTGGTATAGTCAAAAATTATAGTGAATGACTAACTTCAAGGTAAAATGTTTTATATATGTTGATTGTCAAAAATTAAGTTTCTTCTTAATAATGTTATCTTTTCTTGTTTTTATTGGTGTTTCAATTGTGTAGGAACAATCACTAGCTAATGTGAATAATATGATGCAAATGAAGACAAAACATCGATGTGGATCAAAATCAATCCTGGTCAAGGTATACAGCTCGGTGCGTTCTACTAATTTATTTTATTGGATTAGTAGGCTGTGTTAGTATATTATGTTTTTATGTTAATTTAGTAGAAATTTCTTAATCAACTAGGGTAGAATAAAAAAAAACTGACATTTAGGGGCGAAAGGTCACGGGAAAATAGTGAAATATGCATGTAAAGATCCGAGAAACATCACAAACACCTTGAGACGGAGCAACATAAGTTGTACAAACGTACGAAAGAAGCGCGTGGCTCCCAATTTGAAAACTACTACCATTACCTCTCATTCACCCTTGCCACTTCATCTACTCTACCACTACCACAACTTCACCATTAATCTCCTTCGCCGCTGCTACCACCACCATCACCATCATCTCTTATCCACCACCTTCACCACTACTGCCACTTTCAAAAAAAAACCACAAAATATTACACACATAACATACTCAAATATACCGAAGCAATAATAATAAATAAATCTCACTCTATCTACCTCAAGCATGGTAAGCCAATGATACATCTTTCCACAATGAAATGCCAATTTACCAGACACCAGCTGGAAGGGAATGGTACCTCTACCAATTCTCC